TAAGTACCCCCAGGCAAATTAGATATTTCCCTAAATCAACAGAACCATTACATGGTGCAAAGTTAAATACAGTGTCCTTCTCTGTCCTTGAGTGTACATTTTCTATTTATGTGCAGTTGTTTACACTTTCAAAATCAGCAACAGTGAACAGTGATCAAAAATGACAGAAGTTCAATGTTTTACAGACAGAGAATAACCAATTGCTAACATATTGAACAGTGGGAAAATAAGCCATCAGCATCTTAAGTCCTTTATTAATTCTAAATCAAGAAGTAGGCAGGGGATAGAATATATATATAGGACCGTATGTCAACTTCATTAAATGTATGCATACTTATTTAGAAAAAAAGTTATATAATAAGTAGAGAAAAAAACTTTTTGTCACTCCGTAATTTACAATTGCAAATGGTTGCTCTTATATCAAATGGATAGCAGAAGAGGGAGTAATGAAATATTGTATTCTTTCTGTAAATTAGGCTTGCTGGGAAAGAAATTCGATGTCTGTATAATAAAGATGACAAATTTTGAAATAATGTATTGTATTCTCTTGAGAATCTACAAAAAGCCTGGTCTGCACATGACAGTAAATTATAATGTTGCATCTATACTTTATACAAAATCAGAAAGTAACCAGCAACATGATGGCTTAATAAGATAAAGTGAACGGAAATGGATTTTTTTTTACTCAATCTCTTTGATTTAATAGATTCTTCAATCTTTGTTTGGCTGATTAAACTCTTCATACCTATGTTTGATATAGTATTAATATTTATGAAGGATCTCTGGTATTCTGATTCTTGTAATGATGTTCTTGATAGTCCAGGTTTCGGCTGTGGAGGTATACACGCCGCAAGACTTTGTTGTGGAGAATGGGACTGAAGCAAAGCTTCCATGCACTTTTACTTCCACAGAAGTGATCAGCAGTTTAGCTTCTGTCGCCTGGAGTTTCCAAGGCGAGGGATCATCATCTCTTGTCTCGGTAAGATATTGTTTGCAAAAGAAAATTGTAAGAAGTAAAAAGCCCTGCCTGTTCTTGCTCCTTGTCCTACTAAAAGCCTGATTGTTCCCTTGAAATATTGGTTAAGATATTAATTGTATTTTGCTCCAAAATTGGTTGCAAAAGCCTTGCTTAGATGAGGAAATGCTTTAACCCTCTTTACCTGCTTGGTTAGTTATCTTTTATCTTAATATGATGGGAAAATAAAAAATTGATACCAGAAGGAAATCATGTAATAGTAATAATTATCAGTTCAGTATTGTATGAGTTGAGTTTTAAAGAAATTTAGATTACCGGTAGTTAAGAAATAGGGGAAAGCAGGTTTTTAATAGAGCATATTTTTTGTGTTTTTGATTATAGTTGTTCTATTATTCCAATGGAAAAGCATATC